AACAGGGAGAAAACGCCATGGAAACAGGGAGAAAACGCCATGGAAACAGGGAGAACACGCCATGGAAACAGGGATAAAACGCCATGGAAACAGGGAGAACACGCCATGGAAACGAGGAGAAAACATCATGGAAACAGGGAGAAAACGCCATGGAAACGGGAACCGGCCCTCTCACCTCCGTCCTCTGCCAGGTCCACCTCTGACGAGGACTGGAGCTGGTCGCCTGGGAAACAGGAAAACACCGATCAGACAGACAGGCCTCTGAGTGGGGGGGGGGGGTTCGGGGGCCCCCCCCCCCCCCGGTCCTGGTCCTGGTCCTACTGTTGTTGTTATCGTTACTATCAACATCTGGACTGTTTCTCATCCATCTGTAGAAACACCTTTACTGTCTAGAGGTCACTGTCTCTCTCTCTCTCTCTCCCTTTCTCTTGCCCTCCCTCTCTCTCGCCCTCTCTCACCCTCTATCTCCCTTTCTCTCTCTAGCCCTCACCTCTCTCACTCTCTCTCTCCCTATCTCTCCCTTTCTCTATGTTGCCCTCTCTCTCTTTCTCCCTCGCTCTCCCTTTCTCTCTTGCCCTCAACTTTCTCTCTTGCACTCTCTCTCTCTAGCTTCTCGTGCCCTCTCTCTGCCTTTCTCCCTCTCACCTTCTCTCTCTCTCACCCTATCTCACCCTCTCTCTGCCTTTCTCCCTCTCACCTTCTCTCTCTCCCACTCTCTCTCTCTCACCCTCTCTCTCTCTGACCCTCTCTTTCTCACTCCCAATCCAGGTTTCTTCCTCCTAAAGGCAGTTGTTTCCTCCCTGTGTCTCCTGGTGCTGCTCTTAGTAAGAATCGTTCTTCTTCTGTAAATAACTCAGAGTCTGAGCTGCTCTGGTTGGAAAGCTGGGAGACTACTCATGTTGGGAATCGGGGTTAAATAAATAAAACTGGATCCACTCACCGATGTCTTTCTCTGGGGAGGACAGAGGCGAGATGTCGAAGGCGGCCCCCCCCGGGGGGCTGTCGGTGAGGCTCAGGTAGGGGGCGGGGCCTCGCCCGTAGCGCTTGTATAGCTCCGCCCCCTCCAGGTCGCTGTCGCTGTCCACATCTGAGGGGAAATCAATACATAATAATCAATGTATTCACTTCCAGTGAGCATTTTAAAGGTTCTTTTTCTTTCTGGTGGGGCTTTTTCCTCCCTCTAGGTCTGGTTAGATTTACTCTCTTCAGGTTTTGTCTTGAGGATTGTTTTATTACAGGTTTCAGACCCAGAGG